TTTGTAAAACGTGACACTGTTAAAAAGAACCACTATGAAAAAGCTAATATTAGATGGGAAATTTAACATTATTTTGAGTTTTAGATTTCAAGCATAGGACAAATAATTTCCCTTCACAATTACAACAGTGTTTGTGTATGTTGGGGGAGTTTTTTAGCCTATGATATATATTTACTGATGGTGATAGATTACAAGTGTTTTTTCATGCTAATATAATTTCTTAAAAATTTATTTTTCATTCATGAGAATAAAAATGAACAGGTAAGAAGAAGAAAATTAGTGGCCTGGGAGAGCTGGACTTTCTCAAAATATTGCTGAAAAAAATTAAAGGAGTGAATGAAGCCACATAGAAAATTCTGGGTATAGGAATTCATGATGGGTATGGATATAGCAAGAAACTCTGAGTGGGCATCACTACCTTCAGTCTTTCTACTGAATCATTCCACTCAGCATACACACGTTATTATTTCCCTCTGCCTACTCAATCAATGTGATACACCACATCTACAAAAGAAAAAAAACCACATGATCATCTCAACAGAAGCAGAAAAAGCATTTGACAAAATTCAACATCCATCCATGACAAAATATCTTACCAAAGTGGGTTTAGAGGGAACATATCTAATAAAATAATAGCTAAATAGATATAAAATAATAATAGATAAATCAATATAAATATAGATAATAGATAAATAAATATAAACTAATAACAGGGAAATAATAGGAAATATTAATAATAGGGAAATAACAGGAAAAATAATAATAAGAAAATAATAAAAGCTATTTATGACAAAACCACAGCCAATATAATGCTCAACGATGAAGACCTGAGAGCCTTCCAGCTAAAATCCAGAATAAGACAAGGATGCCCACTTTCACCACTTCTATTCAACATAGTATTGGAAGTCCTGGCCACAGCTATCAGACAAGAAAAAGAAATGAAAGGTATCCAAATTGGAAGGGAAGAGGTAAAACTGTCATTATATGCAGATGACATGATACTATTGTTTCCCTCTGCCTAAGAAAACCTCCCCTGGACTTCATTTTCTCTGCCAGCTTTCACCCCATTTCTTTGCTCTCCTTTGCAGAAAAAAAAGAAAAAAAAAAAAAGCCTATAAGAAGTTGCCCACGCTCACTTCAGTTCTCTACGGATCTCTCTTAAGCCTACTCTCTCCCACCACTGTCCCCAAAACTGCTCAAGGTCATCAGCAATGAATCAAATCCCAGGGTCAATTCTCAGTGCTCATCTTAACCTATTGGTAGCATCGAGCCTGGTTGTTTAATATCACTCTCCACCCTTTATTCACTCACTCAAAGTTGCTTTCTCAAAGCACTCTCTCTCGGTCTTTCTCTTACCCACTGGCTGCTCCTGAGGAGTCTGCTTGGCTGGGATCTCCTCTTCCACCTCTCTCCTCCATCCTCCCGTCTCACACACAACCTCCTTCTTTCTGCTCCAACCTCACTGATGCTCCTCACAGGCACCAAGGAAAGCTCTCTCCCTAGATTTCCACACGATGATCACTTCCTTCAAGTCTTTGCTCAGTTGGCACCTTTTCAATGAAGACTTCCTCTACCATCCAATTTAAAACTGCAATCCCCACTGCCCTCCAGCATCACTCATCTCACTTACCATGTTCAACTTTTTAAAAATAGTGCTTTTACCTCCTAGTATACAATATAATTTACTTATTATGTTTATTGTTTAGCGTCTACCTCCCTCCACTAGAATATAACATCCATGAGGGCAGAGATTTTTTTTTTTCTGTTTCATTTACTCATTTATCCTAAGTGCCTAGAATCGTGCCTGGCACAGAATACATGCTCTATAAACATGTGTTGAATGAATGAATAGGGTTACCAGAGAGAGAGAGAGCCTTTTCTTCCTCACATCCTAGATCCTGAAGCTATTCTGCTATACAGGGTCCTCCTCAGCATTCCTGAACATTTCTAAACATTCTTAAAACATTCCTAAATATTCCCATGGCTCTTCCTTACTAAAAAAACCCAAACAAACAAAAAACAAAACAAAATAAGAAACACCAACAGCAATCTTACCCATAGTTAATGTCAATAAATATTTGCTATGATGAGTAGAAGAATAAAACAAAAACATCAGCCTGAAGATATACTTGGGATTTTATCATAAACTTCAATAAATACCAAGTTCATTAACATAGTGTAAATGTCAACTGTCTGATGATTAAATAAACATGTTCCACAAAAAGCAAGCTACTAAAAAGTCATTACACTTAAAATGTATATAGCACCCTTCCAAGAAATGTAAGAGAGATTTTGACATTTTAAAAATGTAATTAAAGCTTATTTTCTATAAAGCATCTTCTTTTCCCATTAATTGCACTTCTTCATTCCAGGGACTTAAATTTCCAATCCTAACACTGCTAATGACTCACTGTGTAGCCACAGGCAAGTCATGCAAATATTCCCCAGGCTAATTCCCCCTCTGCAAAATGAGTACAGTAAATCAAAGCTACCAGAAAGAATATTTTCGAGCATTTCCTTACAGATGGTGGAAAATACATTGTAAATATGACATATTCAAATAGACTGTTTATAGACTGTTACTTCTCATACACTGCTCCTGCTGGTCCTATGAGAATAGAATTTAAATTCACAGCAGAAAAAAAAACGTGACTGTACATATAACTTCTAGTAAGATGGAATGTTTACAAAATCAAGCCAGCACAGGAGGAAGATATTTCTTCAAGCAATTTTGGATCATATATTTAAAAGGAAAGCACCTATTAACTGGACAAATACACAACTCTGGAACATCTTAACAGGCTCTCTACTACTAAATAAAGATCATATCAAAAGATATGTCCAGCTGCGAGCTTTTTCTTGAGCGGCAGAACAATCAAACAATGACCCTTGGATCCTGCCTTCCAGAGAGAATTCTCCCAGGTGGCAATGAACCATCAATCCACAGACATTAAAGGACAGTCAGCACATGTATCCTCCAGGGAACCCCAGAGCTGTGAAAAGGGATATGGCTTCAGTCCTTAAAGATTTCACCCTCTAAAATTTTCTTTGCATATACATAAGTTTTTCTCATTGATACGAAACACAGTAAGAGAACAACAGACATAAGCAGACAAAGGTTATGGATACAAGATTCACAAAAAAAATCAGTTACCCACAAGCATCTGGAAAAAAATTTTCAGTCTCACTAAATTAGACACAATACCATTTCCTCATTAAACGAGTACTCTCTGCAAAGTGCCAATTCACAATGTTATGAGGACACATTATAACCAATGCTTTCACATCTTGTTCATAGTTTTACTTTAGTACAACCTTTTGGGAAAACCAAGTTCTTTTTGTTTGTATCTAGATATGTATCTAGGCTAATGATTTCACTTCTGGAACCTGTCTTTAAAAAATTCTTAGATTATGGTTCATAAACTTAAACTATTATACAACCTTAATAATAGTTACAGAGACTAAAGGGCATTATAGGCAAATGTTTATCATGATCATATTTGGTAAAAAAAAAAAAAAGAAAGAAATTAAAAAAAACCCTGAATCATTTCTATAAATACATACATTCATGTATGTAAAAATACTGGGAGTACACAAAAATAACAGGAGATAGAGGACTAGATTCATTGTTTTTTAATTCAGGGGACTAATTTTAATTTTTTTCTGTAATGTTACCATTTTTGTGATTAGAACTAAAAAGCTCATGCTTGTTGCAATTGAAATGTATAACAAAACACTCTGAAAATACTTTTGGTGTTGTAAAAAGAGTGTTTGCAGATTCATATTTTCCCTAATTTTTTGATTTAACCTTGATAGTTTTTTTGCCTGTGGGGAAGGGAAGCAAACTTGGGATCTTCTGAAAAACTCTTGATTCAAGTCAAAAAAAAAAAAAAAAAAAAAGAAATAGAGTAAATGTTGATGCAGGAATTGTATCAGGAAAGAAACAAGAATTAAAAGAAAAATACTTCGGCGTGAAATGTTAACATTTTAAAGTATTACATTTCTCTGTAGACAATGTATTAAAATGATTATTTGAAGTCTCCACTGAAACACTGGGCTTTTCTCATATGACTGGTTAAATGATTTTTGGTACTAGGTTAGATACTTAAGCAGGCCAAATGACTCAGTAATTTGGTAATACATTATTAATATACTGCTCTAAAAGTCTAACCTTCCAGAAAGATATGACTTTGGTTCAGAGAGATTTAATATTAAAAATAGGCTACACGATCAGGGAGTTGACAGGAAAAGGGCCAGTGGCGTGCAGCACTTGGTGACAAAGCACCACAAAGTACCCTACTGACCTAAAATAGTTAATGCATCCTTTAAGCAGCTAACCTACCTTCAGGGGGTGATTTAAGAACTAGAGACAATTTGGTTCATTACAAATCTATGTTTAGAAATATGCTGCAAATTTCAGATTGGTTAGCTGGAGATGTGCTGTTGGTTATATTAATATATTATTGTTAGAAAATCCAGACTCTATTCAGAATGTTTCCCAAAACACTGGACATATACAGTTGGTAAAAAGCAATTTATGTAATATTTCCTGTCACACAAATAAGAAAGCTTTTTTTTGGCCATACTGCGTGGCTTGCAGGACCTCAGTTCCCCAGCCAGGGATTGAACCCAGGCCACAGCAGTGCAAGCCTGGAACCCTAATCACTAGGCCACCAGGGAACTCCCAAGAAAGCATTTTTTTAATTGCAAATATTCAATACATGGTGCCATTCGCTGAGTGCTTGTGTCCCCCCCAAATTCATATGTTGAAACTGGATCCCCAAGGTGATGGTATTAGGAGGTGGGGCTTTGGGCAGGTAAAAAATCATGAGGGTGGAGCCCTTATGAGTATGATTAGTGCCCTTGTAAAAGAGACCCCAGAGAGCTCCCTTGCCCCTCTAACAAGTGAGGACACAATGAAAAGATGGCCATCTATGAACCAGGAACTAGACTCTCTGCCAGCACCTTAATCTTAGACTTCTAGCCCTGAGAACTGTGAGAAATTTCTGTTGTTCATAAGCCACTCAGTCTGTGGTATTTTGTGATCGCAGCCCGAATGGACTGAGACACGTGGCAATACATGCTCTGCTTTAAGTTTAAAAGTATAATGAACTTCAACGATGATAAAACTTCTATCAGGCAGGGCAACACATGGCTTGACAGTTTGGTAAGAAGACAGTTTGGTAAAGGTTAGAGAAGACCTGGTGACTGCTGGCCATGCCTCTGACCCTTGACCTCTGGCCTGGTGACACTGTTTCATAGATGCTACCACATGCTTATGCTACATGCCAGAGGCTTCTACTGTTAAAACAGACAGCAAACTTGGGCCCTCCAAGCCAAAGCTAAACCGACTCTGTCTTCCACTTCATTTAAATGACAGTCATTCAATACTGTAGACAGTTAAATATTATTATCTTCCCTCTCCAACACACACATACATTAGAATGTAATGTCCACGAGGAGGGCGGGGATTTTTTTTTTTTCACCTCTGTACCCTCGGCGCCGGTGTGTGTGAGACGAGCTGGGACCTGGGACCCTTGGCTGCAGTGCCTGCACCTGGACAGACTCCTCCTTGAGCCACAAAACACAAAGAAACTATAAGGGGCTAAAAATAACTGAGTGCATGTACAGCTGGGGCAAATTACGGACGACAAGATACGAAAAGACCAAAACGCCAACTGCCATTTCTGAAAATCCAGGAGCAAAAAGCAGGGTGTGCAAAAGCATGGTACTGTGCACGCCCCCTGCACACACCACCACCGAAGGGGTGGGCAAATCACCTAAGCTGCCCCTGCAGCTCAACCCCTGGGCCTGACCCTGCCCTCACCCTTTATAAGGAACCCACTCGCCGCCCCCCCTCCCCCCAGGACAGAGTGAGCCAGGGAACCTGTTACTTGTTCTCTCTCCCCGCTGCTGCAGCAGGAGCCCCAGTAAAGCCTTGCCTGAATTTCTTGTCTGGCCTCCTATCAATTTCTATTGATTAAGGAGGCCAAGAACCTCAGTCGGTGACATATACATCCGGGAAGAAGACAAGATTGGGGGCCTTTACATTCCAGTGAGGGAGACAGACGTGACACAGCGAAATAACACAAAAATTACTTTATGACTAGCACGTCATACAAGGTAGCTTTACACGGTCTGGGTACTAGAGACCCTGGGATTCTCAGGCCAAATGGCCATGAGCCCATTTCCCAGGACTGCCTGGGCCTCTTCTCACATTCACCCTTCTCAGGATATACTTCCCCACCTGTGTGCACACCCCGAAACCCAGGGGTGGCCGAGGGCAGCTGTCTGCTGAGGGGGGAGTGATGAACGGGAGATTGAACGTATAGGCTTGGCTGTCCACTCACATCACGAACCTTGACCGAGCCCACCGGGATATGGGGCCTGTGTGCTGGCTCTCTCCCCACTGCCACGTTCCCACGGAGAACTTCAAGGACAGTTCTGAACTCAGACTGGCCTCCTCAGTCATTAGAAAGGTATGCACTCCGCTGGTCCTCTCTTGCCCCCATCCAGCAGAGGCGGTCTACCTCAATGCCATGGACTCTGTTGTGTTAATATCTGGATCTTCCGCTCCTGGCTGATGACTGGTCACTCACCCTGGTGCATACCAGGTGCTCAATAAGTTATTCTGGGTAAATGAATACAGTGTATGTCCATCATATCAAACTCTGGGTGATACTGGGTGTTAAACAGGTACAAAGTTAGCCTCTGTGACCTTGGTAAATGTTCCAAAGACTGTTTAGCCAATAAGATCGCATCTATAGTTCCTGCCAATGGGGCATCCAATCATGGGTAAAACAACAGCTGCACCATCCCGTGGTCTGAGAAAACACAGAGGAAAGACACCAAGCAAACTCAACAAGGAATCTTCAGTACAGAGAAAAGAGAAAACTGCAGTAAGCAGAGAGGAAACCAGTTCCTGAGGTGATAGGCATTTGCAAAGCCCATCAGGGGAGACAATCCTCCTGAAAAACCTGGCAAAATCTGGAAGATTCTAGAAGACGGGAGATCGACTGAGGCTGGGCATGGTCTTTTCCCTTTCCTTTCCTTTTCTTTTCCTTTCCTTTCTTTTCTTTTTTCTCTCTCCTCCCTCCCCTTCCCCCCTTCCTTCCTCCCTCCCTCCCTTCCCCCCTTCCTCCCTCCCTTCCCCCCTTCCTCCCTCCCTCTCTCCCTTCCCCCCTTCCTTCCTTCCTTTCTCTAAGAGTTTTAGCCTTCTTTAATACGCTTTAAGAAGGCTTTAACGGCCTTCTTTAAAACACAAATTACTATCAGAGCCCCACTTTATATTATTTATACTTGTACGTAATTTTTTTTTGAGGCCCATATGCTAAAAATACACGAAAGCAAAAAAACAAACAAACAAATCGAAAGCCTCACTCCGTAATGGAAGTTCAATCCTTTGCAAGTCATCCTTTTGTGATGTCCATGAAGCACTAAAGAATGTTTCCACATAGTATGCAGAGAGATGCCTGGAATGGGCAGGGCCTCTGTGCCTGATGCCGGCAGGATTTCAGAGCCCCGGGTGACCACACCACGAACGCGTGGCTGTCCATGTAAACTGTGTACGTTTCATGAAGGCCAGGCTGACTAGTATGATTCTAGCCCTCCACGTTCCAACCTCTGCAGGCAATTAAATCACAGTAAAACCAACCTCCTCTTAGGGAGGAGGGGTGCGGGCTCCTACCTGTTATTCCCGACAATGCAACCAAAGGACAGCAGCCAGCAGTATAATTTCCCCAGTGGGCACTGCCTCCGAAGATGTGGTCTTAGCAGTGAGGATTAACAGCTCTGTTGATCTCACTTCTTTCTACTTTCAGAGAACCCGCTGCTCTCATTCTCAGACTGGCTTCTGGGGGTGCTTACAAGTAAGGCCGCCCACCATGAGAGGGAAATGTGCTAATTAATATAAAATTTGGATTGCATGGAGAAAAGTCTATACATTTTCTAAAAGTGGGATTCCCCCAGTTGGGATATTATTTCTTGGCTTCCCTATTCATCTTTTCTTTAGTGATCTAAAACATTAAGAATATAGCCTGATGCGTCTTCCTCTAAAAATAACCTGCAAAAATTAGTTTTTCTAATGAATCATTTCTCACTTACTTTGAAAAATAATTCAAAGAGGAACATCCTCAAAAGCATTCTTGACCCCCACGCAAAGAGTGAACTTTGATTTTCAGAGTTAGTTGTAACACTCAAGGGTTTTCAACCAATAAATCCTTTCATTTTTTTGGCTAAAGCAAAGACAAAATGAAAATGTGGCTTGGTGATTCAGTCAACATTAAAATGTATATATATATTTTAAAGGAATTAGGAACACTGTTGTTCTTGAGATAAAGCTTGAACCCAACTGAATTAAAACTAAAATTTTTAATTTAAAAAATTAAAAAAAAATGTAAAAACACAGCTTTTTGTTTGTTTCTCTTTTTAAAATAAATCTTGAAGCTATTATGCTGAGTGAAAGAAGCCAATCACAAAAGGGTAAGTGCTGTATGGTTCTACTTCCACGAGGTACCAACAGTAGCCACATCCACAGGGACGGAAAGTCGAATGGCGGGTGTCAAGAGCTGGGGACAAGAGGGGGTGGGGAATTCGTGTGTAGTGAATGCCATAGAATTGTACACTTAAAAAATAGTTAAAATGGAAAATTTTGTTACATATATTTTTACCACAATAAAAAAATTACCAAAAAACCCCCAACGTGGTTTCTGATAGGGGAATCCGCCATTAAGCTTCCAAACTTAAAAACAAAAGTGACGGAGAGCGAGAAATTCTATTAAGCCCACACATATAACGAAGTCAGCTCCTGGGATTGACACATACACACTATAGATACTCTATAAACTAGACAACTACTGAGAACCTGCCGTAGAGCACAGGGAACTCTCTACTCGATGCTCTGTGGTGACCTAAATGGGAAGGAAACCCCCAAAAAGGGGGGTATATGTATACGTATAGCTGATTCATTCTGCTGCGCAGTAGAAACGAACAAAACATTGTAAAGCAACAATACGCCAGTAAAAAAACAAAACCAAAACCCCCCCCACCAAAGTCAGCTCCAGGAAAGCAAGGCCTGCTCTCTGCTTTTTTCTTCCAGGGGATCCGGAGGGGAAGGGAGGAAGGGGAGATATTTTTTTGTTTTCTAAGTTGAAGTGTGAAATTCCAATCAGCCTCCAACGGTTCCTACACTGATTCAGGAAGATTCTTACTACCAAAGTCACCATGGCATCTAATAATTACGGTTCTGAATTAGTAATTGATCTAAGCGTGTGCCTCAAATACATTCTGCATAGAGCAATCACACCTAGAGAAAGAAATTCTGCATGTGCTGTATAATTATAAAAATCAGAGACCTTCGGGTTGTGTCAGTGTTTTAGGTAACAAATAATTTCAGCACTAAGATACCCAATTAACACTCATTCAGAATTAAAATGTTGACATATCACCAAGTATGCTGTCGTGAGTGGAGGAGAATAATTCAAATATAAAAATTGACGCTTTTCAGGATTTGTACTCAGGCCTACAAGGAAGTTTACTATAATTATTGGCTGGGTTTTCCTTGTCACTGGTCCCTGTAATTTCAGCCTTCCAGGTTTCTGCACCTGCACAACCACTCCACATCTCCACTCCGCCGTGAAACACACACACACACACACACACACACACACACGCGCGCGCGCGCGCGCTCTTGACTAGACCATTTCTCTAACAAGAATATCTTCCACAAGCAGGGGAAGCATCATGTCCCTGGATCCTAATTAACATAAAGACAATGACCCATTCAAACAGCCAAAAGAAAAGAGTTCAAGGATGCTGTGTATTTCATAATCATCATTTTCATTCAGTTCCCGGATCTGGGTGGAAACTGACACATAACATCTGAATTAGGAGCAAAGGGTGTTTGAGTTGGCAAATGTAATTTTCAGAAACCTCAAAGAAATAGCTATCTACCGAGGGACATCTATAGTACCTTCCCAAATTTTATACCAGGCTCAAGGAGAAAGCATGCCACGTTTCCTCATATAAAAATATCTTCAGGGCTCTAACCACACAGATTCTAGCAGGGACCAGCCAGC